AAGCTTGTTATACAGAAAAAAAGAAAATTCGACCCATGAAAATTCAAACAGTAACACGTTCGTATAAAAACAAATGACAAAACACCATCACCACGATAAAACATAGCATAGAATCAAAATAAGACACTTTGTAGAAAACATGCAGTGATGTATGATATAATGTTAGGTTGTGATATTAGCGACAGTCTAGTAATAACAGACAGAAGACACTCAGATCTAAATCTACTAGATGTGAATACATTAAGACAGACATAATAAGAAGAGAACTCTTTAGATCGTCATTCGAAGGTGTATATATAGAATCGAGATAAGACTCAGGCGAATGAAGTGTATTAGCCAAGAACTCATAACTATCAGTAACAGCAATATATAGGAGACAACACGACATAATACAAGAAAAAAGTTACAGATTATCAATAATCAAATAGGACAGCACAAATAACGAAATAGAAAAAAATTACATGTTACGAACATAAAATATATAAACCCGACAGTAAAAAGTAGAAAAAATGCTACATTATAATGAACGAAATATAACAACACAAAATAACAATAAAAGACATGCTTACTCATACAACAAAATACAGCAAAGCTGGACAAGCAAACAACGAACGCTATATCACCTCAACAAATCTGTATAAAAATCTACAACAGCAACATCGATATAGACAATGCAACAATAGAACAAATAAAAAAAAGCATTATCATAAATTTAAAAATATTTATCTCAATGCATCATGCACAACAACAACAGGACGATACAAAAACAACACAAGGAACAGACTACAACGACAACAACAAGATAAGGACAGAGACACAAAGCATCTACGGTCGGGCATATGGCGAATAATGCACGATTGGGTGAATTTTCTCTATGACGTCACGACGCTGACATCATTCGGCAGAGGGTCATTTCGTCACGTGTTTTTGTTGTTTGTTTGTTGTTTTCTCTGTATCCGCGTAGGGATAAAAATGAAAAGCCGTGGCTATTGTTTGTTGCATGAGAACCTTGCACTGTTACTGTAATTAGATATGAATGACCTACCGCCGGTGCACTGCCCCTCTCCCGCCATTCCGGTGCCTCGTATTTGTCGTCCTCCGCCATGCTGCCCTCCTTTATGGCACCGCTCTCTGCCGGAATCGCCAGGTGATCTACTAATTCGACCTTCCATTCACATGCCGGCGTCACTCGCTCTTTGGTCAATTCTCCCATTGCGCCCTTCGTCGCTCTTTCACGGATCTATTTCTCCTCTCCCCGTTGCGCCTCTCTTCTCCATTTCGCCTTGAACCCAGCCTTTCTCACTTCCCCTCCTTTCGATTACTCCTCCATCGCTTTCGCCGTCGTCTCCTCCTCTGCTTGCCGCGGATTCCACCGCCCATTCCCTTTCGCTCCTCTTCTATCCCCGCCGTTAGCATCTCTTATCGCTCACGCTCTGCACTCCCCCTTGCGGCGCTCCTTTCACCCTTCCCCGAGCCTTGGAATCATACTCCTCTCTTTTTTCACTCGCTCTCTCCGCCTGGTCTGCTCCGCTTCCCTTCCCTCCCTGCTGTGCACTCATCTCTGCACTCCCGCTTCGAAGCCGCTTGATCTGAACACCCGTGCAATCATCCTCACCCTATTCCACCGGTACCCCCGCAGTTCCCTCCCTCTCTCCTCTCTGGACCCTCTGCTATGCTCCCCAGCCCGGTTGGGCCCCTCTCCCTGCCTCAAGCGTCTCGATATCTCAGGCAGCAGAGGATAAGATACGATGCGATTGATAGGAGAATATGAAAGATAAGATGAGTAGAGAGAGATACGATGTCGGAGGAGGTGAAAAGAGCGCGTAAGGTAGAAAAAAGATGATGATATGGATGGAGATGAGAGAGAAAATAATAATTAATATAATTAATTGTGAATAATAAGAAGAAGAAGAAGAAGAGATCAAGCAATCGAGAGGAAATAACAAAAAGAAGGCAGGAAACGAGAGGAGGGAACTTAGAAGGAAATATGGAAGGGGACACATACTCAATGAAATATTTAAAAGGATAGAAAGACAAGAATTAAAGTAACAACTAACATAAATATACACAGAAACTAAGAGATTGAAAGAAAACTGTGAATAGAGAAAAAGAGAGAAGAAATATTCACGATTACGAAACTAGCTAAGACGCATAAGACGGGATAAGAAGGTAGCAGAGTTGCAAAGATATTCCGATAAAAATGCGGATTGGGAGAAAGAAATACTGTAGAATCTGTCAAGAGGATGGAAATGAGTCATACGAACGTGACAGGATGCCAATAAATACATAAATACGAACACACACATTATATATATTATATATATATTATATGATATACTAGTATATTATCGCCTAGTAGTATATATTATATATATAATGATAATTTTTGTTTTTTTTTTTTTTTATCTATTTAATTTATATAAATGCTATATATAGGCATATATACATATTCATATAGATGTGTATATATATGTACTAGTGTATATATATAGTATATATATATATATATAATATATATTATATATATTATATATTATATATATATATATATGAATATACATATGGCATATACATATATTACATATACATATAAACAACAACACAACACACAACACACACACACACACACACACACAACCAAACACACAACACCACACACCATACCACACCAAATATATATTATTATATATATAGTATATATATAATATATATATATATACACACACACACACATATATACGAATTACACACATCCCCCACGCGCGAAACCAAAAATACATACACACACATTTCTCCCATTTGCCCCTTCAGGAATCCTTCCTTAAGAGGACTCCGAAGCGATTTAACTCCCACTTATCCGGCAACAGAAGGTCTATGGCCTTGTATGGTAACGGTGCCTCGCGCTCTGGCACCCTTTCCGAGACCACAGCAATTGCAGCTCTACTTGTGTTGGATGTTTGAGAGATTGGAGAGGGAGAGGGAGAGAGAAGAGAATGGAGGGAGGGAGGGAGGAGGAGGGAGGAGGGAGGGAAGGGAGGAGGGATGAAGGGGGAGGGAGGGAGAGGAGCAAGAGGGGCGGGGAGAGGGAAAGAGGAGGAGCGAGAGAGAAAGAGGGGAGGGAAGGTAGGCGGGAGAGAGAAGAGAGGAGAGGAGAGAGGAGAGGAATGGAGGGAAGGGGAGGGAGGAGGGAAGAGGGAGAGGGAAGAAGGGAGAAGGGGAGGGGAGGAGGAGGGAAGATGGGAGAAGGAGGAGAGAGGAGGGGGGAGGGGGGGGAAGGGGAGAGGGGGG